AGTTGTGTAGCCTGTGTATGGAGTGGGTGTCAGATCCGAGACCCTGGGCCTCCTGCCTGTAGCCCCCACTGACACCTTCTGTTGGCTGGAGCTGTGGGGTTGCCCAGGCCACACTGGGACCAAGGGGAGCTGAGGCTTGGCACTGCTCTGTGGGTCTGGTGGTTCTAGGCTGTCTCCCGCCCCGTCTCACTTTCCCTTTTCTCTCTCAGGTCTGACAAACCACGGGCAGACAAGGCACATGGTAAGGGGCAGACAGCAATGGGACACATGGGCTTTGTACTGCGGGGCTTGGGCCCTGAGAGGCCTGGTGAGACTAGGGCAGGCCCTCAGAGGGCTGTCCCTGCCTGTGGCAGTGGGTTGGGGCTCGGTTGGTGGGGCAGCTCCCAGGAAGCATGTCTCCCTTCTGTGCAGGGACCAAGCCGGAACTTGCTGCTCAATGGGAAGTCATACCCAACCAAAGTGCGCCTGATCCGGGGAGGCTCCCTGCCCCCTGTCAAGCGGCGCCGGATGAACTGGATCGATGCCCCAGATGACGTGTTCTACATGGCCACTGAGGAGACCAGGTGGGCCTGTAGGGTGGGTGGCAAGCACAGCCCCTGGTGTCCTCACTGGACTCCCCATCCTCGTCCTCACCAGCTGCTCCCCCCCACAGGAAGATCCGAAAGCTGCTCTCATCCTCTGAAACTAAGCGGGCTGCCCGCCGGCCCTATAAGCCTATCGCCCTGCGCCAGAGCCAGGCCCTGCCACTGCGGCCGCCCCCGCCTGCGCCTGTCAATGATGAGCCCATCGTCATCGAGGACTAGGGGCTGCCCCTCCCGCACTGCCCACCCTCCGCCAGGCGGCCCCCACCCAGACCGCTGCGCCCTCCTCAATTTGGTAGAACCCCACCTCCCGCCCTCACTTGCAGAGAAACTGCTCCTTCACTGGAAGCCCAGGAGAGGAAGGAGAAGTGCGGTTTAACTTATTCCGAGAAGCCGAGGAGTCCTTTTTAGCTTTGTGTTTACTTTTTGGCTGGAGTGGAGAAGAGGGGCCTCCTTGGGCCCCTGAGCTGCAGGGCCTCCCACTCAGAGGCCAGGCCCTAAGGTTTTGTTGTGTTCTGTTGAAGGTGCCATTTTAAATTTTATTTTTATTACTTTTTTTGTAGATGAACTTGAGCTCTGTAACTTACACCTGGAATGTTAGGATTGTGCGGCCGCGGCCGGCTGAGCTGCCCGGCGGGGTTGGCCCCTTGTCTTTTCAAGTAATTTTCATATTAAACAAAAACAAAGAAAAAAATCTCATAAAAAGAAAAAAGCCAACTGGCCCTGCCCTGTGTCTTTTTTGCCAACCCTTTCCCTGTCTTAGGTCCTCCAGCAGCCCAAGACCAGGAGCCACGGTCTCCCTGCCCTGGGGCAGTGTGGTAAGCCTGGAGGAAGCTTTCCAGCCTGGTCCCACAGACCTGCACCCACAGCTCTTCTGCAGGGAATTGCTGGGACTACTCAAGGCCCCCACAGCCACAGGCACCCCTCCCACCAGAGTAGTTGGTCCCGTTGCCCCTGGCCCTGGCGGAGCCCTCCCCCAGCTGTCTGGACATTTCTGTCCAGAGTCTTGGGGCCCACCCAGCAGGTGTTCAGTTTCCACAGTGAGAATTTGCTCAGATTTCAGCAAGTCCCTTCTTAGAAATCCTTCCTCAGCCTGTGCACCTCCCCTTGCAGGCCTAGGGACAGGTGTTGGCCCTGGGCGGCCAGCAGAGGGAGAGATCCTAGGGCTGGCCTGGCTTCAGGGACCACCCTCAGCTGCCATCTCAGCTGGCCAGGAATAGGATCAGCCCAGGGTGCCTAGGGAGGGGTGGGCTCTTTTGTCCCTCCTCCTTGACTCTGCCTTCTGCTCCCCTGGCCCCACCTAGGTGCCCTGAAATGTGCAAAGCTCTGCCAAGAATTAAAATAGAAACCACTTCTGCTCTCTCCCAGGAGACAAAGATAAGGGGTTGTCCAGGGCAGGGCACTTGTGAGGCCCAGCAGGGTGACGTGCCAGAGTGTTGGTGATGGGGTTGTGCAGGCACTACCTACCCTCCCTAGGTCAAGGCCCCTCCCCTTGCCTGCGGTGTCTGTAGTCTGCCCTCCCAAATGTCCCCAAAGCCCGAAGGCATATCTGTAGAGTCTCATCTGGGGGCTGGGAGACCAGGTCCCTGACAAAGAATGGGACCTCTGCTAGGGTCTGGGTCAGCTCAGGTACCTTGGTGAAGACCGCAGCCCCCTTGCCTGCCTGGATTGTGTGTCCTGCCCCCAGCAGAGGGTCTTATCCCCAATACTAGTTGAGTGTCCTGCTGGGTGAAAGACTGTGGCTTCGCCACCCTCCCACCCTGCCCAAGGCCCGTCCTCTTCTCACTTCTCAGAAAAGTGCACTATGACATATCCCCAGACCCTGGCCAAGAGCTCTGTCCCAAGGGCAGGCTGGCCCTGAGAACACAAGCCCCTCCCCCACACCCCTGCAGGCACCCCATTGCTATGGTGCCTGCCAAGGCCAAGCCTTCCAGGAGGGTCCTGAACCTGAGTTTAGAAATGGGGAGTTGGCACAGCTGGGGAAAGCAAGTTTCTCTGTCCTGGCTCAAAACACCCCACCTGCTGTGCCAGTAAGGTTCTTCAGGACCAGGGGCATTTCAAGTCAGCAGGCCAGTCATGGCCTGAGAGGACTACTTGAAGGCCTGTCCTGAGCCCACAGAACCAGGGTCCTTGCCACCCATAACCTCCAGTCCTCTGCCATTCCCACAGCAGAGCTGGGGGGGGGGGTCCTGCCCGCCAACATCATGGGGACACAGCATGCCACTGTACAGCCCCCCAGAGGAGGGAATCGGCTGCATGCATGGCCATCTGGCCCCTGCATGCTTACTCACACTTGCCACCCCACAGCCATACGTCTTGTGCTGCCCTGACAATGCCCCAGTCTATAATTCTCAATAGTCTCAGAGGTGGAAGCCAAGGCCAATGTATTGTGTCCATTGATCCATGGCACTTCCTGCCAGGCCCAGAATAGCCCCATCTCATCAGGGAACCTCTGGCCATAGCCCAGGGACTACAGCTGTGAAGGGTGGGCAGTGCAGCAGCTGGACTCCTGCACCCCCAGTCCTCCCGCACCCCCAGTCCTCCCTGTTTCCAGGGCATCTGGCCAGTGCCAATGCCATTATTTTGCAAGCCTGGGAGGAGCTTTCACTCGGGCCTCTGTAGTCGGCAGAATCTGGACCAGCAGCTTTCTTGGCTGCTATTTCTCTAGAAAATACCCGTGCCCAGCCAATCCATTCTCCAGAGCAGTACCAGAGTGCGGTTATCAGTCCTGCGAACATCAGAAGGGGCCTGGTGTCAGGGAGGGTGACACCCCAGCCTGGGGGTCTCTCAATCTGGGCAGAACAGAGTGGCAAGCTGAAGAGGGCTTGATAATGCACTGAGTAGAGACAAGGGGATCATGAGTGGCCTGCAGGGATCCTCAGAGCTGCCCTGCCCAGGAAGGGGACTGGCTGATGCCAACTTACCAGTCTCTGGCCTTAGCTGGCACAAGTCCAGAGGTGGAGGGGGGAGCTGGTCAGGCTGGTCAGTCAGGCTTGGAAGGACACATGTGTCTAAGCTGTTGTCTCCATGGCAATGGCAGTGTGGCTGCAGAGAGGAGGGCCACCCTGGGGGGGCCAGAGCAAAGCAGGACTGCTGTGAACATGCAGCTTCCAGGGGTGGAAGGACACTGGCCCACTCATGATCACACCTGGTATACCAGGCAGAGGAAACCAATTCAGACTTCAGTGTCTAGCTCAGCTTGACACTGATCCCAGGGTGGCCACCTAGCTGGAGGTTGGTCTGCCTCCCAGGCCCAACAAAGCCCCAGGGAGGAAGCAGGAGTCCCAAGGTCCTCTGCCCTGGGCAGGGACATGTTCTGATGTGCTTCAGGGTGGGGGCAGGGAGAGGTGGGGATGGTCAGGCAGCCCCTAGCTAGCGGACAGGGCCCTGGAAGGGTGCCTGTTGGGCGCAGGGTGGGTGAGGTAATATGCTGGGCAGGGTCCCTGTCTCTCCAGCCCTACAAGAGGAGGCCCTGGGCTTGGAGTCAATGGATCTGCAGGAGAGGTCCTGGCACGAGGCATGTAGGCTGGCGCTCCAGGTGGCCCTCTCCTCCCATTTCTCCTGCCTATGGCTTCCCTAGCGCTTCCTGGGCGGAATCCGTGGGGACTACGCCTTTTAGCGCGGACCTCAGGGTGCCGGCCCTGGCTGCAGACGCACACGCTCCCTCGGAACCGTGCCCTCTGCCCGTCGAGCCTTCAGCACCACAGACAGTGTTTGGGCAGAGGACGGGAAGGCGGAGCGGGGGACTGATACCTGGACAAGGCCCAGTCCAACGCGGCGCCCGGAATCCGACTCCTCTCCTGCTGCACGGCCGTTGCTATGGAAACCAAGCAACAAAGGTTAGCGGGGCCAGCACCGTGAGGCGGGATGGGGGTAGGATTCTCTCGGAGCCCGCGTCCCTTCCCGCCGCACAGAGCACCCGGGATGCAGAGAGCCCGGCGTGGTGGACTCCAGGCTCCGCCTACTAGGGCTCCCAGAGCCGCGGGGCACAGGCTCCCGGCCTCAAGCCGGCGACCGAGAGACAGCCCCAGCTAGACAGCCCCGACGTTGCTATGGAAACAGCCTGGACACTGGCGGCGCCGCTGTGGCCGGGGCGGGCCCCAGTAGACGCTGTCTCGGGCGCGGGGTCTGGGGGGGGCCAGGCCAGGTCCCACCGCCCCTCAGCCCCCGCCCGGAGCAGGTGCGCCCCCGCCCCCGCGGCGCCCGGGTCGGCCTGCTGCCCGGGGAGGGGCGGGCTTCAGAGACTCCTCCCGGGCCTCGGAGCCAATGGGCGCGCAAGCAGCCAGGAGGGCGGGGCCTGGCGCGGGCGGTGGCTGAAAGAAGAGCGCGGGCGGAGGGCGCTGGCTGACCGGACGTACGGACCATGGCCTCCAAATGTCCCAAGTGCGACAAGACCGTGTACTTCGGTGAGTACCTGAGGCAGGCCTGCCCCAGACCTGGCGCGCCCCGCCGCCCTTTGCGGCCAGTCCTCTGCCCCGGAGACCCGCGCCCCCGGCGGTATGCTCGGGATGCGCCGGCCGGGTCCCAGCCCAGGACCTAGCCTGGGCCTCGGGATGCTTGTCCAGGAGACGGGTTCTTCGAGCTGCCCACGCGGGTGTAGCCAGAGGGTGGGGCTGCGACGGGGCGGAGGCCGCTACGCCCGAACTCCCAAGTGATCGGTGGGGAGGGGCGGGGACACGGGTCCGGCCAGGCCGAGTGCGTGGTCCCCCAGAGATGAGACCCAGGTTGCCAGAGGGCTTCGGGGTCCAAGAACTCATCGAGGTCCTCCGGACGGCGCCAAGCGGAGTGGAGTCGGGCGGAGCCTTACGCTCTGGACTTCTTCCGAGGGCTTCGGTCGGAGTCAGGCCTTCTTCCTGGACCCCTCGCCCGCCGCGCCTCGAGCACGTGGCGGTACCCGAGCAGTGACCCTGACCCCCTCACCTCTGCTAAGCCGGGCGGGGCCAAGACTGGACTCTATTGGGATTAAGTCCAAAGCGGGGGAGACCTTGGCCTCCACCTCCTGCGTGTCCCAACATGCACTCCCTTCTTTGGCGCGAGTTCCCCCAGGAGTTTCACACGGGTGGGGCATGGGGGTGACGTGCGAGCTTGAGAGGGCATTAGTACCCAAGCAGCCCAGATGGCTAGGACCTCTGTCTCCTCAAGGTCAGAAGAGCCCTTACAGGAGGCAGGGGAGGGCTGTCCCTGGCAGGGAGCCCAGTGGGCAGCCCCTTCAGGCACTCAACCCTGGTTCTCCGCTTCCTCACTCTCTGTTTCTGGGTCGCTTCCTTCCTACTTTACTTCTGGCTTATCCTCTGCCCAATTCTGCCAAGGTGGTCCCTTGCCCAGGAAGCCATCAACTTTTGCACAGGGGGCCAGTCTTAGAGTTAGAAGCAGAGGTGGGTAAAGGGCTAGGTTGACAGGGCCCTTCCCTGGTCATCCCAGGAGCAGTGGTCAGGATCTGGGATGTGGCCCTGCACTGTGGTGAAGGAAGCCCCTATGCTTCCCCAGCTCAGGGATTGGAGTAGGAGGGGGAGGAGGAGGAAGAGGACGAGGAAGAGACCATCAGTTGTTTGCTATTCCCAGAGGGGAGGAACCGGATTTGGCCTGGAGAGCTGCTGGTGTGGCCTGCAGCCAAGGGGCTTCCGGTCACCTCCCCAGGAGCCCACCCACCCTCAGTTCCTGTCCCAGAGAGGCTCCTCTCTGCAGGGCTCAGGGTGGGGGCAGTCCTCAGGGCCTGCCTGCAGTCCAGCTGCCCATGACTTGGCCCAGGCCAGGCCAGCTCAGGGCTCTCTGAGTTCTTGGCCAACAGTCCTGTGGACAGCCCGGAAAAGTACTCTGCCTACTGGGCAGCCACTGGCTCTCAGCAGAAAACAAAGGCGCCTCAGACCCAGATGTCTTCATCCTGCCTGGAAGGCACTGGTGGGGTGAGAGTCCACAGTCCTGCCCACCCCTATAGCACCCCAGCTGCCCTGCAGCCCACAGCTGAGTAGAGCCAGGGCCAAGACATCCAGAGCGATCTCAGGATGATGTCTCTGTGTCTGCCAGACACATGCAGCCTGGGTAGGGACAGAACTCTCTTCTAAGCCATTTAGACGTAGTCGATTCTGTGTTTTTAACTGGAGCCTGTGAGGTGTGGCCAAGAGCCCAGTTGGTGGGTCTGAGGGTCTGTTCCCTGCCCCTACGTGGCCCACATTCCAGACCTGGCTGGAACAGGGTGGTCTGACACCCCTATGCAGCAGCTGCCTTGGCTGCCAATGGCTGCGTCCGGCCTCCCTGTGCTCAGCCAGCACCCTCCAGCCTGAATCCCTGAGTGAAGCAGTTCTAGCCAGAGGGCTCTGGGCACCTGTGGCCTCATTCGGGTAGGGGGTGGTGGAGCAGGTTCTGCCAGGGCTAAGGGGAGACAGCATTCAGGCCCTTCACTGAGCCACGGGGAGCAGCACCCATGGGCCCCCAGGGCAGGCTTCACACTGCCTGGGACCCTGCCTCCTTGCATTTGCCAGACAGAAGGCCTGGGGACTCTCCAAGAAGAGCGGGCAGGAGAGCCGTTGGTCCAGATTCCATCAGCAAAGAGGATGTCTGAGGCCAGCCTGCATACCTTTCCTCCTCCTAGCTCCTCCAGCCTGGCCCCTGCCCTCAGAATTCCAGTCCTGCTCAGGCTTTCCTTCCTGCCCTCTTCCTCTCCACCCTTTCCTGCCTTGTTCCCTTGGGGAGGCCCCAGCTTCTGTCCATTGAAGGGTGGCCCAGCAGCCCCAACTGGGAGTTGGGGAGAGGCACCTGACTCTCAGCAGCTGGTCTCAGACCTTTGGCAAAAAAGCAGTAGTGGAGATAGTAGGATGGGAGAAAATGTCAGGGCTGAAGATGAGGAAGCCACATTCAGATAGATGAGAGTCCAGCTGGGAGATCTCATGGGGGACTGGCCCACCCAGGGGGGCAGGGATGCCATGGGCTCAGGGCTGCTCCCTCAAAAGGGCTCTGCCAGTTCCATTAGTGAACGCTGTGTGAGGGAAAAGAGAATGTGTGAGGCAGGGCAGGTGTGTGAAGGAAGCATATGGGGGAGGCAGGTGCGTGTGAGACAGGTTGGAGGAAGGTAGGTATGTGTAAAGATGTGGGGGAAAGCCAGGTGTTTGTGAGGCAGGTGTGTGTGATGCAGGTGTGGAGGGGAGACAGGTGTGTGTGAGGCAGGAGTGTAGGGAAGACAAGTGTATGAGGCAGGTGTGTAGGGGAGACAGGTGTGTGAAGGCAGGTGTGTAGGGGAGACAGGTGTGTGTGAGGCAGGTGTGTAGGGGAGACAGGTGTGTGTGAGGCAGGTGTGTAGAGTAGACAGGTGTGTGTGAGGCAGGTGTATAGGGGAGACAGGTGTGTGTGAGGCAGGTGTATAGGGGAGACAGGTGTGTGTGAGGCAGGTGTGTGTGAAGGCAGGTGTGTAGGGGAGAGGTGTGTGTGAGGCAGGTGTGTAGGGGAGACAGCTGTGTGAAGGCAGGTGTGTAGGGGAGACAGGTGTGTGAAGGCAGGTGTGTAGGGGAGACAGGTGTGTGTGAGACAGGTGTGTAGAGTAGACAGGTGTGTGTGAAGGCAGGTGTGTAGGGGAGAGGTGTGTGTGAGGCAGGTGTGTAGGGGAGACAGGTGTGTGTGAGGCAGGTGTATAGGGGAGACAGGTGTGTGTGAAGGCAGGTGTGTAGGGGAG